TTACATCTTGAAGCTTTATACCTGTGATTAATTTGGAAGATTTCATACCTTCCAACTGTGGACTCGACTTGAATTCCACTGATTTCACTTTTTGAAGCTTTGTCCCCAGTATCAACTCAGAAGATTTCACACCTTGCAATGGTGGCCCAGATTTGGACTTCACAGATTCAACATCTTGAAACTTTGAGTCTGAGATTAATTTAGAAGATTTCACTCTTTGCAATTGTGGCTCACAGTTGAACACGAATTTCACATTCTGAAGCTTTGATCCCAGAATCAGCTCAGAAGATTTCAGAACTTGCAACTGAGGACTGGGGCTGAATTCTTTATGTTTTACATCTTGAAGCTTTATCTTTGAGGTCCATCCAGAATATTTCACACCTTGTAACAATGACCCAGGGTTGAAATCTGTAGATTTGACACCTTGAATCTTTTTCCCCACAGTCAATTTAGAAAATGTTGTACCTTGCAACTGTGAGTCAGAGATTAACTCAGTAAATTTCTTATCTTGGGACTTTGTCTCAAGTGGTGACTTAGAAGATTTTGGGCCTTGCCACTGTGGCCCACTGTTGAAATCCTCAGATTTCACACCTTGAAGCTCTGTCTGAAGAGTCAACTCAGATGACTTCATACTTTTCAAGTGTAGTAGGGAGTTCAACTCTATAGTTTCATCACTTTGTAATTGTGACTCTTGGTTTAATACCCCAGATTTCACCTCAGGAAACTGTGGCTCTTGTGTAAGCAATACAGACTTCACACCTTGAAGCTGTGTTCCTGGGGATGACGGTAATGGTTTCACTTCTTGAAACCATGGTCCTGGGATCAACTTAGGAGATTTTCCATCATGCAAGTGAGGCCTAGATTTGAACATCATGGGTTTTACATCACAGAGCTCTGACTTGGAAGTCAGGTCACATGATTTCTTACTTCTAAACTGTAGACAAGGTTTCAAATTGAGACCTTGAGGCTGAGGTTCTTGGAGTGATGCCAGAGATTGTATACCTTGGAGCTTTGGCCTTGGAGTCAATACCGATGGCTTCTTATCTCTTAATTGTATCAAAGGTTTCAACTCTGCTGGTTTGACACATTGAGATTGCAACCCAAGATTTAGCAGAGATTTCACACCTTGAAACACCAGTGCAGGCATCCACTGAACAGCTCGCATACTTTCAAGCTGTGGCTTTTTGTGTAACTCCACAGTTTTCCTACCTTGAAGCTGTGGCTCTGAGGTTGATGCCAAAAATTTTCCTTCTTGCAGCTGTGGTCCTGGGGATAACTCAGGAGTTTCCACACTCTGCAACTGTGGCCCAAGGTTGAAATTCATATATGTTGCACCTTGAATTTTTGGCCCCAGAGGCAATTCAGATGACTTCACATCTCTTAACTGTATTGAAGATTTCAACTTTACAGATTTGACACCTTGAGATTGTGACTCAAGATTTGGGGTCAACTTCATAGATTTTACTCCTTGCATCTTTGGCTCTGGAGTGAACTCAAAAAAATTCACATATTGTTGTTGTTGCCCTGAGTTTAACTCTGAAGATTTCACACCTTGAGTTTGAGTTCCTGATGTCAGTTCACAAAATTTGACATCTTCTATCTGTGGCCCTGATGTTATCTCCACAGATTTCTTAACTTCCAGCTGTGGACTTGGGGTTAGCAACGTAGATTTCATACCTCTTGGACATTGTCCTGGAGTTAAGGCCACAGAGTTCAGATCTTTCAACTCTGACTCTGAGATTAACAACTCAGTTTTCAAATCATGAAGTTTTGAGCCTGGGGTCATCTCTACCGGTTTCACATCTCGCACCTGTGGCCCAAGGGTCAACACTGTAGATTTGACATTTCCCAGTTGTGGCTTTGATGTTAACTGCATAGATTTCATACTTCCCAAATGTGGCCCTGGTGTTAACTCCACAGATTTCGTATCTTCCAGCTGTGGCTCTGGCGTTAGCGCCTCAGACTGTAAACCTTGAAGCTTTGAGATTGGGGTCCACTCTACAGGTTTTACATCTTGCAACTGTGGTCTTTGGATCAATTCAGAAGATTTCACAACTTGTAACCATGGTCTTCTGGTCAACTCAGAATAGATTTCACTTGGCAACTGCGGTCTAGGAGTCAACTCCATAGATTTTGCATCTGGTATCTGTGGCTCTGAGACTAATTTATATGAAGTGTCACCTTCAAAGCTTGACATTTGGTCTACTGCCACACATTTTACACCTTGAAACAGTGGCTCTGGTACTAACATCTCAGGCTTAACGCCTTGCTGCTCAGGTCCTGGGGTCAACTTCATAGATTTTACTCCTTGCATCTTTGGCTCTGGAGTGAACTCAAAAAACTTCACATATTGTTGTTGTTGCCCTGAGTTTAACTCTGAAGATTTCACACCTTGAGTTTGAGTTCCTGATCTCAGTTCACAAAATTTGACATCTTGTAGCCGTGGCTCCACCTGTTTCACACCTTGAAGCCCTGGAGACATCTTTGCTGATTTAGAATCTTGAAGCCCTAACTCTAGAGTTGTCTCCACAGAAGTCACACTATGAAACAGTGGTCCTGGGGTTTGCTCCCCAGATTTGACACCTTGAAGCTTTGGCCCTGAAGTCAATTCAGAAAATTTGACATCTTGCTGCCTTGGCCCTAGGTTCAGTTCCTCAGATTTCACATCTTGAAATTGTAGTTTTGAGGTCCGTTTGACAGATTTCAAGCTGTGAAACTGTGATCCTTCAGTAGACAGAACAGATTTCATATTTTCAGCTGGGAGCCCTTGACTTGACTGCAAAGATGACTCTGTTACAAATCCTACAGACTTTATGTCTTGAAGCTGTGTTCCTGGTATAAACTGCACATGTTGGAAACCTTGATGCTTTGGTTCTGGGGTCAAATCAGAAAATCTGATACATTGCAAGCATGGTCCTGTGTTTAGTTCCATAAATTTCATACTTTGAGGTTGTGATTCTGCAGTCAACTGTACAGATACAACACTTTGATGTTTTGGTCCTGGGATAAAATCTGACAATTTTATTTCTTGCACTGGGGAACCTGGGGTCAAATCATCAGATTTCACACCATGATGTGGAGACCCTGAGATTAAATCTATAGGTCTTTCTCCTTGAAGTGGCAGCTCTGGAGATAACTCTGAAAATCTTACACTATGCAGCTGTGGCCCTTGGAGCTGTGCCTCCTTAGTCAATTCCTCTGATATCATGCTTTGTAGCACTGGCTCTTGTATTGGCTTCTCTGATTCTACCACTCTGGTAGTAGTTGACTGTTGAATTAAATTAACATATTTCACATCTTGTAATTTTGGCTCTGGCTCCAACTGCCTAGACTTTACTGCCTGGAGCTGTGGCTCTGGGGTCAACTCCATAACATGTGGTTTTGGTCCTGTAATAAACTGTTTAGATCCTACCACTAATAGGGATGACTCAGAGGTTAACTTCACATATTTCAAATTTTGCAGTAGTGGCTCTGATATCTCACATTGCATCCCTGGTCCTAAAGTCAACTCCAGAGATCCTTTTTCTGAATATGGTAGTACTAGTATTACCTCCTGGATGTTTTCAACTGGAAATGTTGCCAACCCCACAGTTTCTGTGTTTTCATATTCTGACCTTAGGGGTATCCCTGATGACTCTGTAACTTGAAGATGTGGCCTTAGGGGAGTCATTCCTGTAGATTCTCTAACTTGACCTATTGGTTTTTGTGTTAATGCTACTTGGGGCAAAGCCTCAGAAGTCAGCCTCACAGTTTCTGTATCTTGATAGCCTTGACCTAGAGTCATCTCTGAAAATTTTTGAAAATGTGGCCTAGGCACCACCCCAGCAGTTTTCAAGACTAGCTGTGGGATCAGTTTCACAGATTCTTCTTCTTGTGGGAAGATCTCAGCAGCTAACTCTGCAGGCTCTGTGTCTTGATGCCTTGGTCTGGAAGTTAGACCCACAGATTTCAATCCTTGTAAATGTGGTTCCATGGTCACTTTCCTTGATTCAACATGCTGTAACTGTGTCTCAGGAATTAACCTACTAGATTCTTCCAGTGGCACGTGTAAATCCACAAAATTATTATCATGCATTAATGGCCCTAGAGTCAACTCCTCAGGTTTTATACTTTTGGACTGTGGTTCTGAGGTCAATGGAACAGATTTCACATTTTGAAATTGTGGTTCCAAGATCAACTCCTCATAGTTCATAACTTCTGAATATGGTCCTAGATTCAGATGAACAAACTTCATACCTTGGGACTCTGGGGTCAACATCTTTGATTTCATACCTTGCATCTCTGATCCTGGTACCAACTCTAAAGATTCTTGTATTGTGTGCTGTGACACTGGAGTATCTCCCATGGCTTTTACACTTTGGAACATTGGCTCAAGAGTACCTTGGAATGACATTGAGTTCATCTGCATAAATTCTAAAGCTTGGCTCAGTGGCCCTGGAGTATTTCCTAAAGATGATTGTATCAACCCCCTAGATTCTTTTGCATGGTGACAAGTGTCAGAGGTAAACTTTGCTTCTGTTTCTGGATATCCTGGCTCTGAGATCATCCTTAAAGATTCTGAAGCTTGATGCCATGGGGTCAATCCTTTAGGTTCTGTGACTTGATGATTCGGTTTGAGGTTCAATTCTACAGATTTTACTGCTTGAATGTGTGCCCCTGGGATCAGTTCCTCATATTTCATATCTTCTACCTGTGTCTCAGGAATCAACCTCCTACTTTCTACCATTTGAGGAGTTTTCACATCTTCAAGCAATGATACTGGAGCTGTCTCCTCAGATCTTATATCTTGTAACCATGGCTTTGGGGCAAACTCCACAGATTTCATATCTTCTTGTACTGGTCTTAGAGTCAATTCCACAGTATTTATACCTGGAAACTCTGATGGTAGGGCCAAATGAACATATTCCATACCTTGCAACTGTGAACTGGGGACCAAGTCTATAGATTCCCTACTTTGCAACTGTGGTGCTGGGACTAACTCAGCAGATTTTTCATTTTGTTGTTGTGGTCCCAGGGTCAATTGGATAGATTTCACACCATGAAGCTGAGACCCTGGGGCTGACTGCACAGATTTCTCACTTTGCAGCTGTGGTGTGGAGGCCAACTCATCAGGTTTTATACTCTGCAGTTGTAGTTCTGGGGCCAATTCTATAGAGCTCACAGTTGGGATCAGCTGTCCATATTTTACCATTTGTGGAATTGAACCTGTGGTTATGTCTATAGATTTTGCATTTTGCAACTCTGGTCCCAAGATCAGTTTCCCAGATTTCAAATTTTGCAATCCTGGGGATAACTTCATAGAATCCATAACATTAAATTGTGGCATTGGCTTCATCCCCATATACTTCACATCTTGAAGCAGTGATGAATCTTGTAGCATTTCTTGTAGCATTTCTGTAGATTCTGTGACTTGAGGCAGTGGCTTTTGGCTCATTCCCATAGATTCTGTACCTTGACCCAGTGACCTTGGGATTGTCCCTAAAGATTCCATCATTTGATGGTGTGACTGTGTCACCTCTACAGATTTCTCCATTTGTAGCCAGGTGTCAGATGTCAAACCCATAGTTTCTGTGATGTGATGGCTTTGCCTTGGACTCATCTCTGAATACTCCAGAATTTGATGCCTTGGAGTCAACCTTGAAGACTCCATGACTTGATGAGGTGGTCCTGGGGTTAATGATATAGATTCTATGCTTTGATGATGTGGTTGTGGAGTCATCCCCTCAGAGTCTAGCACTTGAATGCATGACTCAGGAGTTGACTCCAGAGATTCCTTGGCTTGAGATATTAGCCTTGGGGTCAAATCCTGAGTTTCTACAACTTGTGACTGTGGTGCTATGATCATTCCCATGGGTGACCCCAGTGCTGTTGGAGTTACCTTTAGAGAATGTATGGATTGTTGTGATGGCATTGGAATCAATCCTACCAATTCCATGATTTTAAGTGGTAGCTTTGGAGGTAAGCCCACAGATTCTACCACTCCACATGGACCAATAGTAGTAGGAGAGCTAGAAGAAGTCAAACCATCTGATTGAGTTGCCCTTGGGGTCAAATTTGCAATTTGAGACTGTGTGTCTGGAGTCAAACCCCCAGATTCTATAACATGTGACTGGGTTGGTGGAATTATCCCCATGAAATCCATAGCTTGTAATAGTGTCACTGGAGTTACTTCAAGGTAATCCATCACTGGATGCAATGGCCTGGTGATCATTTCAGGTGATTTTGTATTTTGACATATTGGCCTTGGAGTAATCTTCAGTGGTTCTATGACTTGACTTTGTGGCCTTGATGTTACGTCCACCGATTCCATAACTTTATGCTGTGGCCCTGGGGTCATTTCCACAGTTTCCATGACTGCATGTTGTAGCCTTGGACTCATCTTTCCTGGTTGTATGACTTCATGGTCCAACAATGTGGTCCTTTTCACTGACTCCTTGACTTGATATTGCATCCTTGGGGTCATTCCCTTTGACTGTATGATAGGTGGATGTGATTTTTTAATCATCCCCATAGAATCCATGACTTGAAGCAATGCTATAGGAGTTACCTTCACATTGACTATGACTTGATTCTGCTGTCTTGAGGTCATCTTCCTTGATTCCATAACTTGCTGCTGAGATCTTGGTGTTACCTCCACTGATTTAATGACTTGATATGATGGGTTTGGGCTTACACTCACTCTTTCCGTGGCTTCCATTGGTTTCACGACTTCATTTGGTGGCCGTGGTAACAAACCTACAGATTCTATCACTTCTGAATGTGATTCTGGAATTAACCCCATTGAATCCATGACTTGAAGTAATGCCAGTGGAGTAACCTTTATGCTATCTCTGACTTGATATGGTAGCTGTGGGGTCAGCTCCACATTAGTCACTTGGGTCTCATGCTGCTGTATCCTTTTTTCTGGAAGATCTATGACCCTCTGCTCTACACTAAGCTCTAACACACGTTTTGGGTCCTTCTGCAGTAAAGTTGTTTCCTCTTGAGCTATGTCAACTCCTAAACTTTTGGGAGGTGGAGTGCCCATTGATGTCATTAAGGGCCTGGATCCAAGGATTTGGGGGCCATCCCCAGGTTGTGACTGCTTACCTGGGATAAGAGTCTGTGAAATTTTTGTTTCTGTTCTGCTTAATCCAGATTCCGCTCCAACGTTCACGTGGAGCTGAAATGCTGGAAGGTCTGGGGATTCATTATTGATATCCTGCTCAGTGCTTTGATGAATGGGCATAGATAAGTGGATTTGGGGTTTCTGTGGTTCAGGAACTCCTCCTTGTACCTCAGTTAAATAATTCAGCATTGCCCATGATTCCCTCACAGGCAGAGGCACTGTTTGTTCCCGCAAAGTAGAAACCTTCCAAGCCATATGTCCCTCTAACTCCCGCCTAGCCAAAGGAGAGAGCTGGATTGGAGCTGACCCTGACAATAGTGGTCTCTCTTTGAAAATAGCACTTGGCCTATGATCTGTTGTCAAATGACTCTTGCTCCTTCTCTCATCCTTTGTTTTCTCTTCTTGTTTGTAGAGATTTGGGGATTCAAAAAGAGAGTTGATAAAAGTGCTTTGAGGACTTAAGGATGAAAGAGCTGCCAAATTCTGAAAAGGCTTTGATTTCCGGAAAAGCTCTGAGAGCCCAAAGGAAGGCAGGGGTGTGCCTTGGTTCCTGAACACAGGAGGTTGATTTGGGGGTAAAATAGGTAAACTGTGGCTCCGGAGTCGCCAAGTTGTTCCTTCAGAAAAGACAGGAAGGTGAGACAGGCTGGAGCTGTAGGATGATCCAGAGGAGATGCTACTGTCAGAAGAATGTTTTGCCTTCTTACAGTCACAACAGGGTAGACCAGGCCCCTGAGCCACAGAAGCAGAGGAGGTGGAAGAAGAAATCGTATCCTGTGGTTCAGGCAAACCCAATTCCATAAGACTTGATCTAAGAAATAAAGAGAAAAGTTTCTATTTGTTTTGGAAGAGGAAAAGGAAAAGTAGGAAAAGGGAAAGATAATGGCCATTTCAAATGCAAAATAATGTGGACTGAGGGAAAACAAACAAACAAAAAAGGTTGCTTTCCCCAACATCAATTATTTATGGAAAGAATTCCTCCACCAGGACAAAGGGAGGCATTTGTCCCCATTCCAATCAGAAATGATTCACAGACCAGTTGTTCTTAAACTTTGTTCGAACCCAGAACTTCCCCCACTACCAAAACTAATTAACTAACTAACCATCTTTCTTCTCCCTCTCCTTCTCCCTCCCTCCCTCCTTGACTCTCTTCCTTCCTCCCTCTTAAAAGCTCTACCACCTTCAACCCCAACCAAGAAACTACTTGACCTTGCACTTTCCAGGTGTTGGACGACCTGTTGAAGACTCCTGTCCGTTGACCAGCATACACATTCCTGGGACCAGCCCGTAGGGAGATCTGAAAAGCTGGATGCAACAGAGTATGTCAGTGTAATTGAAGTGATATTAAAGTACTGGTAAGGAAAACAATAAGAGGAGAGACTTAGAAAGGAGACAGCTATCATAGCGAGGGAAGTAAAACAGAGTCCCAGGTATCTTACTCCTAACTTTTATAGAATTTATCAGTAGGGTAGGCTGAAGAGAGAAAGAATAGACACAGTGAAGATCGACTTTACTCACCATGTTAGGTTAGCTTCAATGCAACCCATCCTGAGATTTTCTTCCCACTGTGGATCTGGGAGTAGAGGTAAAGAATCTATTAGCATTATGACTGTTGACATCACCTTAGTTCAACCCCTTCATTTTGCAAATAAGGAAACAAAGACAAAGCCATGCCTAAGATCATAAAGCTTATTAGTGGTGGAGCTCAGATTTAACCTAGCTCTCATTTTGTTTGTTTTTTTTAAGCTGTAGGATGCTGTCTTCAGCATGTAGTAGATGTAAGCCATTGGAAAGAGCAGGTATAATCATGATAGGGAGATGGAGTGGGGTAAACAGAGGAATACATATCTTTGGAGGAAAAGATATGTATTATCCAGTGTCTATGCTAGAGAAAAAAGGTACCAAAACTTCCCGCATCAAACTCTTGGTAGTTACCCCTCCTTTGTTCTTCAGTCTCACCATGTTTCTTTCCTGATACTTTGAGCTTTGCACAAAAAGAGATTAGGAAAGCATGAGGATAGGAAGCATGGAAAGAATTATGGAGCCATTTACATTTCTTTGGAAGTGGAGATGCTAGAAAGAGTAGGGCTATTTCTTTCATTTACATAGTCGTTTCAACCTTTTTCCTTCCACCTGCTATTAAAGGTTAGTGTCTTAAAACAGACCCCATAGTTGATTTGTCGTTAGCTTTGAACTGAAGAATAGGATCTTTCTGACCTGTGAATTTCTGGATCTTTTTCAATTTATGCTGCTTTGAAGTCTAGAAAGGAACAAAAAGAAAAAATAAAATCAGGTAATACTCTAGGTTAGAGACTTTATTGACAGCGCACTTCATCTCATAGACATAAATATTGATACTGTTGGTATCTATAACCACAGCAACAGTTATGTCATTCATTTATTCATGAATCATTTATTGAGTACTTACTTAGCTCTCAGTATTGTGTAGGGTGCTGGAACTGTAGAGATAAATATGATCCCTGTGTTCTAGGAACTTACACTAGTAGGGAAAATAGATGTCTAAACAGATAAATTACAATACCATGTGGTAAATGCTGTAACAGAAATATAAGTGTGGGGCTTCCCTGGTGGCGCAGTGGTTAAGAATCCTCCTGCCAATGCAGGGGACACGGGTTCGATCCATGGTCAAGGAAGATCCCACATGCTGTGGAGCAACTAAGCCCATGCTCCACAACTACTGAGCCCATGAGCCACAACTACTGAAGCCCATGCGCCACAACTACTGAAGCCTGCATGCCTATAGCCCCTGCTCCACAACAAGGGAAGCCACCGCAATGAGAAGCCCACACACCACAACAAAGAGTAGCCCCTGCTAGCCACAACTAGAGAAAGCCTGTGTGCAGCAACGAAGACCCAACGCAGCCATAAATAAATAAATAAATAAAATAAATCTATTAAAAAAAAAAAAGAAATGTAAGTGTGAAGGAATAAAGAGAACAGTGATTAACTGCCTGGGAGAGAAGGGAAGAATTCCTCAAGAAGTTGCCATTTGTACTGGAGTATGAAGAATCAACAGAAGGTTTTTAGGTGAAGAAAGGGCATTCCAGGCAAGTGGGAACATCACTGAGAAGATTAGAGCATCGTGATTGTTAGGTGCACTTTTGCTAAGTAGTGAGAGATGAAGCTAAAAACATAGGTGGAAGCCAGATTATGCCAGATTATGTGGGATTTTTATTTTATCCTGCAGGTCAGAATTTCCCATCCAGTAGTTAATAAACTCCTGGGGTTTCTGCAAGGGTGTTCCAGGTCATTTTAAAGGCATAAATGACACTTGTTACAATTTCAAATAAAACTTTTTTTATTTCTTCCCTTTATATTAGGACATCAGTCTCTGAAGGTATATTAAAAGAGCCTACACAACAATTAATAGGGAATCATGAACATGCTCATAATGCAGTAGGCCAGTAGTAGAATAACCCTAGCTGCAGTGGTAGTTTTGAACTTTGGACAGTTTTAAATTGATTTTATACTTAGTCTTATACATATTTAATTTATGTCCATAATGGACTGTTGATTAAAAACATAAGCAAAAGGAAAACTGATGTTGAAATACAGGTTGATGTATTTACAAATGATCTTTCTATGTATTTATCTCAAAATGATCTCTACGTATCATAGACCTAAATAATCTCCCACTAGAAAACACTCGGGAATGCTGAATAAAATACAACAAACATCTTTTAAATGCAGAATGTAGCTCCTTACAAGAAAGTAAGGGAAATCTCCAGGTCAAAAATCAGAAGAAAACTGAAAAACAAGAGTGGAAACTAGTTGAGACTTCAATGCCTTAGGTCATTTGCAGTGTCAGCCACTGAGGGACTTAGGTTAACAGTAAGGTGGGGACACAGATAAGTCCCATGTGAAGTGGCTATTTAAATGAGACCCCAGGAAAAAAAGCCAGGCTTGTCAAATTGCTACACACTTGGTAAAAAGTGGCTAGAAAAAAATCTGCTCACCAGACAAGGAAACTTGAACTCTGGGTGGGAAAAAAAGCCGCCTCTGAAATTTTTAACCAAGAGTCTATCCTCACACTGGTTTGAAATTCTAATTTATATTCCTTGTGTAGTCAGGAACCCTCAAAATGAAAATAAATGTGGTCCTGGGCTGATAATGCCCCTAGGGCAAAAGGCAAAAGTAAATATAAATCTTGAAAATTGAAGTAGGAAAGAGAAGAAAAATAGTTTGAATAACTATATTAATAAATGTGAAATGCCTAATGCAATGGTTAAATTCTTAGAAAAAATATAAAAATTGGGCAAAAAGAAATAGATCATTTGAGTAGACCAATAAGCATGAAAGCAATTGAAATGATAATCAAAGACATTATCCATCAGAGGTAATGAAAGAATTCACCAAGGTTTCTGAATACCAGAAAATCTTATAAATGTCAATAGCATTTCTCTACTGAAGCAAAAAAACTAGAAAAATATAATTTTAAATATGAAAGATATTTTCCACAATAGCAATAAAAATGATAAAGTATCAAGGTATTAACCAAAAAGAGAGAAGACCATCATGTAGAAGACTATAGAACGCTATTAAAGGACATAGAGCTGCTTGGCGAATTTGTCCACATACATTTTCCGCCCCCTGCTACACTCACAACTTCTGTCAGGTGTTTCTTATGTTGCTTAAAATGCCATCTCTTCAATCATTCAGGGTTAAAACTGAGAAGTCATCCTTTCATTTCACAAACACCTGTGGAACACTTACTATATCCCAGGCAGTATACCAGGCATAGGGGATACAAAGATGAATATAGTCCTCATAGGAAAATGATGATAATGTTTATAATTAACTCTTTATATTTGAGGCCCAATCAGGAAAAAAAAAGACTCAATCCCTTTACTCTCTTTCTGCCTCACTTCCTATAGCCGAACTTTCACCTCAGGACCCTCCTCCTCTCTCACAGTCCCGAGGGCAGAGATTTTTGTCCCTTCCATTTACTGCTGCATCCATAGTGCCCAGAGGAGTGCCTTGTACATGGTGGTGGCAGTGGGTGATAAACACCGGGGGAATGAATCAATGTCCTCTTTTCCAACTTACTGCTCTGATTCTTTCACTTCCTTCCCCCTCCTTCCCACTCAGTCTTTTTACGTGGGCTTCTCACTGTTGTGGCCTCTCCCGTTGCGGAGCACAGGCTCCAGACGCGCAGGCTCCAGACGCGCAGGCTCAGCGGCCATGGCTCACGGGCCCAGCCGCACCGCGGCATGTGGGATTTTCCCGAACCGGGGCACGAACCCGTGTCCCCTGCATCGGCAGGCAGACTCTCAACCACTGCACCACCAGGGAAGCCCTCCCATTAATTCTTTAAAGTAGACTCCTATTGGATTAGCTACACCAGAGAACCACCACATGCACTCACTGGAGTTATTTAAAGCCTCACATTCAAAGCATGGTGCTTGGGACTTCCCTGGCGGTACAATGGTTAGGACTTGGTGCTTTCACTGTCATGGCCCCAGGTTCCATCCCTGGCTGGGGAACCAAGATCCCGCAACCCACATGACGCAGTCAAAAAAAAAAAAAAAAGTCGAAATAAGGTATGGTGCTCAGTTCAATAGCAATAGGATCACCTGGGAGCTCATTAGAATTGCAAAATCTCAATCCCTTCCTGAATTAGAATCAGAATTCTACTGATTCAGAATCTGCTACTGAATCAGAATCTGTTTTTTAATTAGACTCCCAAGTGGTGTGTTTGAGAAAAAAAAAGTTGAGAGTTTAAACTTTTTAAAGTTTAAATTCTGTGCTCTAAAGCACAGATCTAAGCACATTTTCACCTGGCTTTAAAATCTTTGATGCCTTTCAATTGCAGACAGAATAATATTTATACAAAGTATTCAGTCTGGTGTTTGAAGCCCTCTACAATGGGACCTCTAACCACTTTGTGACATTTTCTCTCACTTTTCCCCAACCGGTTCCCTACACTTGTACACTCCATTCCTGATAGGTGTCTTCACCTCTCCTTGAACACATCCAACGCTCTTCTGCTTCCCATGCTTTCCCCTGGTCAATTCCTTCTCTCTAGAAAATCTTCCACTACTCTCCTCCACCCATCCTATCCACCTTCAAAATCCTACACTTCCTCTGAAGCACAGCTCAAACCTAAGCTCCCTGCAAAGGCATTTTATAGATCCTAGAATACTCTTTACCTCCCATCTCTTCAGCAATATTTACACCTCTATTAACTCATCCCTTTCTCTTTCCTTGGGATATATATATATGTCTTGATATACATATATATATATATATACACACACACGTGTGTGTATATATGTGTGTGTATATATATATATATATGTATATATGTCTGACTTTCTCCCCCACTATACCTCGAAAAGGTGGAGGTGGTGTTTTATTCTTCAATGTCTAGCATGCTGCCATATATAATAGGTGCTCAAAGTTTGTTGAAATGTATTGAAGGGAAAAGGACTGAGAGTGACTTGCAGGATGACATCCATAGGCACTACCTCAACTCCCCTCTTCCCACCATCAATTCCTCCCATTGCCCAAGATTAGGAGTTTCTATGTCTCCAGGGACAGGGGCAGGGACAGGGAGCAGTGAGTTTCAAGAGAGTGTTGCATCACATACCTCTGAGTGGGTCTTGTCTGCCACCTGTTTCCTACTGTGTTTCCCAGAAAACCTCACCCAAAGCCTCCAGACAAGGAAACCAAATAATAGTAGAAGGCTGACATATTGTGGCAGTGGGATGGTTAGCCTCCAAACCAGAGCCATTACTCAACCCCATGCCCCTCTCAGCCAGTTTTATACCTCATGACTCCATATGACATCACAGTGGGCATTCCAAGGCTCCAGCCAATGGGCTTGCTGCTTAAATCTCTTCTCTGAGCCATACACCTGCTGCCCTTTCCTTCAGCTGCCCTTGTGCCCTGCTCTGACAGCCAATGCTCAAGGAAGCTCCTTTACGATTCTTCTAGGATTGAAGAAGAATCACTTGTTATAAACCAGAGAGTATGGAGGCAAGGTTTCAAAGGAGCAGGCTTTCCAAATGGCCTGTTTTGCCCTATAAGCATCTTCTCTGGAGCCAGTCACTCCCTAGAGGTCCAGATATGGTGTCATATGTTCCAAATCACACATTAGAATACAGGGTCAAGAGCATTTAAGAACGCTTTAAGTAGGTACTCTCAGAAAATGTATGATATATGGTTTCCTAACTCCAATGCTTGACACATTTCCTAGCTGCTGTTGCATTGAGACTGAGAAGAGATATCATGTAGGGA